AGTACGTCAATTACACTGCGGGTTAAGTCACAGCAGTTGCCGTAGTCTAAATAGTATTAAACCATGACTACTCGCTTATCACTAGTAGTATAATGTAATGCCTTTTACATAGAGTTCCCACGATGTTTTAGGAGCATGTCCAGTCTGCTCTTAAATAAATTAACAGAGGTGGAGAGGACCACCCCTTCAGAAATGGCGTTACACACTGCAACTATTCTGTTGCTGAAGAAGTACTTTCGCATATATACTATTTGCGCGGTTATCTCCTAAAGCTACGCCCAGTCAAAACAGGGGTCGGTGGACACTATTTGTTCTTCAATGATAAGGTGGCTACAACGTGGGAAGCTCTGCCCGAGGATGTCCTCTCCACTTGTGCGAGCTCATTTAAGAGCAAACCGGACACGCATCAGACTAATGAAGCTCCAACTACAATGTGTAATGTACACCAATTATGTTCCTAATAGTAAATGAGTAGACGTCTATGTGTACGCTTCTATTTAGTGGCGGCTGCTTGCTTTTCGTCTCCAATTATGAAGACCACGCCTTTTAGTACGTTCCTTTTGTATCGATGGTTTTCTTAGCCACGTCACAATGAGTAGGGAGTTCCAAGGCCTTCGCCTTATTAAAACTGAACGGTAGCTTAATCAAAACGGCAAAACCGATAAGTAGTGGTGCGGATTGCACGTAATTTCCCAATTCATTTTACTTATTACTGTGGGTTTTGATGAAATGACGCACTCCGTGTAAGATGCCGTAGACTATTAGTTGCATGCAACCATATTCATCATTTCTGACAGTATATCACTTGATCTAGCTGGGAGATCGTTTGTCTAACGTAAATTCGCGAAAGTTACATAGAGAGTGACGCTACACAATTTGCATTTATTACCTCAGAAAGACGCGCTGCAAAATCGACAAAAAACTTGCAACTTGGGGAAAACCTAAAGGACAAAACTCTTATCTGACTCAACCCTAGTCGACTTCACATCTTGTCTGGTAGACTATTTTTTCAGCGAAAGAAAGCAGAGAACAGGAGCGACAAAAAATAAGGACACTAAGTAGATCGACCTTGTGTTTACCTTCTTATAGGTTGTCTTTTTAATGTCAAGCTGGGCTCCAGCGGGACTAAAACAACGGTAAGAACATCAGAGAATGTGGGCGTACTTGGAATTCTTCATATATTTGGCATAGAAGACGTTGGCAGGAAGGGGAAAGTCGCCGACTGACAAAATCGAGAGACCATGGAGAAAACAGTTCATAAGGAGCTCTGTCTGATCCGTTCTGGCTGCAGTGAAGGAGGATCGCGACGGGCAAACATGATATAGCACTGACTTTTGAACAAATTGAAAATACGTAATGTCAGACTATGGAGAAAAAATGTAACCAGATTGAGCCGAGCTGCCAATTTCGCACTGGATGCCCTGCTACTAAAATATGAATGTGGGAACAGTTAATAGTCACTCCTCTGACGAATCAGAGATAAGGGAACATCGCAGATTCTTGCAAACACGGAGCGATTCTTGCAGAACTATACAAATAATCACTTGGCTTTTATCAAATCGAAGGACACCTATGTTCGCAAAATATCAGAGAATGTTCTCTCAGTAATTTCTTCAGTGACAAAATCTATACGAAAAATTTCGCGCCAGAGAGATTTAACCACCAACATGAGGGAAACGTGGTTAGTGTATTTTGCCGCTAGGTATCATCAGGCAATTATGATCGCCTGTTCCCAGGCTGGCCTAGGCTTTCAACGTTTTTGTTTGTACTGATTACGTAAAACCATATGTTACTTATGATGAAACATGAACAAAAAACAATGTCTATAGGTGGCTACCTGTTCGGGAGTCATCTGCTTCAGTCTTTTCAATCTCCGTCGGCAATTCCAGCTGCA